CAGGACAGGATTTTGTTGTTATGGACACACATGTGCCATGGCGCATTGTGCATGCGCAAGCTACGATATACAGCATAGTGGCTAAATTTGCCTTTTTGTGCCACATGCTACGGAGCATGGACCACGAGCCGCAGCTCATGTACTAAAATATTCAAAAATGACATTTTTGGCCCTGTTTTCTAGTGTTTTACTTCCCAAAACTTTTCTATGCTTCTAATACCTTTATAAATCATTAAGTTTAAGCTCAAACTATAAATTTGAAGGGCTTTTATGAGATCCCAAATATTTCAAAATTATTTCTAAAAGATTATTAGTTTTAACCCTTATATATGATGTGAACTTAGGAGCAATCCTTGCTCCTAATTATGATTATTTGTTGTGATTGTGTAGTGAATTTTAGTAATGTCAAGGTGGATATTACATGTGAAATGTGCTTCCATAAGCCTTTATCTTTTGTCCTGGACATATCACGTGTAACACTGATCATTGATCATATGTGTATTAGCTTGAGCTAAAATGTCCAATTTTTAAGTTGCACTATGTGGACAAATCAAGCGTGAAACCAACTATGTCTAAAGTGTGAAATGTCTACATAACTTGAAGAAATGAAAAATTACGTGTGAATCATTTTCTCACCACACATGATTGGCTTGTTGCTATATATACCTGTTGTGTTAAATCCTTCATTTCACTTGTGCTTTAACATTCCTATTTCTGACCATTACAACTCTCCTTCATTCTTAACTGCTTCCTTGATCCTTTTTTGAACTTTATAGTGTTTAGAATTCATTACCTATGCCTTCTAAATATTATTTCACATTTCAAATTTATCTAAATTCTCCTTAATCTATAAACTAGCCTCTCTTTCTAATTTCACTATAATGGCTCATACCAAAGACATTAGGAAGAAGGCGAGCTCTGAAATGACCAAGAAGAGAATATTCACAGAAGTATTGATTGAAAAAGTTGGTAAATTACTAGCGCAACCATTTAAGAAGAGCAGAACTCCTATAATCACAAGGGATCCTGTGACAGAATCCACACCTTCAAGTTAACAAGAAGATGAGTTAACAAGGCTGGGAAGAGAATTGTCTATGGATGGTAGCAATGTGCCTCCTAGTGACATTTTTGAAGCAAGCTTGAGTAAAGGAAGGCTAGTCAACTCAGAACACCAATCTCAATACAACCAGTTCTACTCATCTAGTGTGGTGGCCACTAGACACTTCATCAAGTATAATTCATTTATCATAGCTCATAACTTTGATATTGATGAATACTTGAGTGACTATAAGGGGTTGTTAGAGCTCAACATCAACTATTCCTCTAAGGTAATCAAAGCTTTTTATGTAAGCTTTAATTGAGACAAAAGCAAAAAGACATACAAAGCTCAAGTAAGAGGATTTCCCATCTTCTTCACTCCCAAAAGCTTGGCACATATACTGGGAATAGAAATTAGAGGCTTAGAGCTGCAAGAATATAATAGAGCTACTTAGAGGAATGCTCTAAGATTCCACAGTGTGGAAGAGAAGTACAAGATAATTATGATGACTGAGGATGTTCCTGAGGAAGTATTAAAGTTAAGATTCTCCTTTAGACTGACCAACTTTCCCTTCAAGCAACAAATGTTAGCATATGTCATGGGAGATTCTTTGTCAACGAGAGGACTACATTCAACACATGTAGCAAATTTGAGGCTGAATTGTTAATTAGACTTATCAAGAAGCAAAAAATCAATATGTTTCACTACACATTGACAAAGATGCTATATGCATCCAATATGGACTCAAAGAAGAAGAAGGGGAAGAAGGACAGAAATCTCTACTTCCCAAACACCATCTCGGCAATATTAAGGAGATTCAAAATTAATCATATTGAAGAAGTTACTGTGGAGCCTGAAGAGTTCAAAGACACTGCACTCTTCAAGATAAACTTCCAACTCATTAGGAAGGATTTTGTCCCAAGAGAAGAGGATGAGCCTAATGATGTCATAGGAGCAAGGAAGAGAATAAAGATGAAGAAGAAGGCTAAAGTTGCTGGAGCCTTTTCATCTCAACCATTACCACAGATATCTACTCCTCAAGGTGATAAGTCTAATGCCTTCTTGTACAAAATTCTAAATGGAATTGAAGGCAAGTTGGATCAAGTTATAGTTCACCTTAAGAATGATATCAAGGGCCATAGTGATATGATACTCCATTTAAATGGTAAATTAGATAGAATTATGGATTACCTTAGCATTTTTGAGCCTTAAGGAGGAGAAATAAGGAGGGAAGATGTATCTGTCTTTCCAAATTTAGAGAAGGTTCTGTACATATTGTCTCCTCTCTGTCAACCTCTAGAACCAAATCTATCACACCACCCTCACCTTTCCAAATAGCTTTACCACATGACCCTTCGTCCCATGAAAAAGAAAACCTCCTCGTCCATCGAGACCAAGAATCCTCTATCCACCATTGATGAGAGCACACACTTACCCTAGGAGGCTTACTCTTTGACATTGATTCTTGGTAAGGGTTTATTTGTGATGTGCATAATTTTTTTTTAATTATTGGCACACTGATTAATAATTTGTAGAAGTTCATGAGCTATTATTTTATTTTTCTCTTGTTTCTTTGTCTTATAATTTCTTTTGGGACCTTTTTCACTTAATGTTTCCTAGAGTATAAAAGATAAGTGTGGGGGAATTGATAGAACACATTTGTTATACACTTTTTTTTGGTCAATTAGGACCCTTTTATTCATGATTTATCACCTCAAAAGTGCACACATTGCATTATATTTGTAATTTTGCTTAAGTTTATAGGTTTAGTGCACTTGGGGCATTTTGGTCTAAAAAATAAAATTTTGAGGAAATGTACAGGAAAAATTGTCAAAGTACATTTAATGTCCATTTGATGAGTGGTGAAATTAAATTTTTGTAATTTATTTTAGTTTGAGAGTAATTAAATAGAAAAGTCAATACTTTCTTAAGTTAAAATTTTCATATTGAATCTAAGAGAATTTAAATAACTTATCCCATAGTTCTTCATCTTCTCTTGATTCTTCAGGCTCTTGAGGTTTTATTTTCATATATGATTCTTTATTTATTTGTATACATAACAAATACTTTTTCTCATAGTTCTATAATCATCAAAACACATAATTGAACAACTATGGCTTGTGGCCTTTGTATGGGATTCATAAGTTCAAAGGTATGGTGATCTGATGCTCTTCTAAGGAAGACCTAAAAGATGTTTTTTGTAATGTTTAAAAAAAAAAAAAGGATTCAACCTTGTAACATTGCTAGTTTATGTTGGCCTCTTAGATGTGTTTTGGAAAAAACTTTTGATCCATTGTGTCTTAAAACATTACTTTTATAGTTCAAAATTCCCCTGATTGATCTAAGCTTGTCTTTGGTCTCCACATCCCAAGGATCCTATTTTCAATCCTTCAAAATAAGCGTGCTCATGAATTAATAGGATTTGGTGGCTGTACTTATTGGTTCTATTGTTAGGACTTAAAATGTCCTAAATGCTCATGTTTTGTTCATCAAAAATCAATTCTAATGATGGGACATACAGCCAGTTTGGATAGCGCTCAGAATCCTTTTTTTGGGCCGAAATCGATTTTTAAATGAAAGTTATCCAAACAGCACGATTTTACCCATCCAAATGGATTTTGCATCAAGCTAAGCGCCCCGGGGAGGGGGGGTGGTTTTGAAGATCGATTTTGTTCCATGAGTCGACACATTTTGTCCCATCCCAAGCATGCCTCGGTGGCGATTTCAAATGAGCAATTAATGTTCTCTCTTTTACACGTTTCATTCTTCATTTTTCAATCTATTTATATTTTTTTCTTCTTTCATATTTATTTATATATATTTTTGCTTTCAATGACTTTAATTGTTTTTGCCTTGATTAAAATGTCTTTGAAAATTCTCACTATGTATGCTATTTTTATTCTATCATCCATTTTTCATCCGCATTTATTGTCTATTATCCATTAACATATTAAATGGATCACTATTATATACTCTCTTTAATTTTATTTATAGGAATAAAATTATAAACTTGTTAAATAATTTAAATAACATTTAAATTTATATAATTAATCAGCTCTATAAACTAAATAATATATTTTACTTGTTAAAGTTGAACAAATTTAATATTATATACAATTTTATCAATATTTTAATTTTCAAAAGTAATGTACTTTATGATAATTTGTTCATTTAAAATTAATTCTAGCTAAAATATCCAAACATCTTCAATTACGTCAAAATTAATTTAAAAAAAATTAAACATGATCATGTTATAATATAATCAATTATATTCAAAATCAATCACATTAATTAATTTTTTTCATAACCAATTCTACTTAATTAAAATCCAAACAGGCTCGTAGCAATTAAAAACAACTATATGGTAGTTAAAAATCGCTATATATTTGCTTTTGGATACTATATATAACGCCAAGGTATATAATAATTAAAAACCGTTATATTTTGACAAAAATAACCACTATATATAAACTACTTTTTAGTAGTGTTGACACAAGTACCCCACACGTAACTACAACTCCAATAAAATGAAAAAAAAAATATAGTTTAAATCACGAGAGAACCCAAATCCACACATCAAAGTATAGGGAGCGAAAAAAGTAGTTACAACATGTGAATTTCTTATGGTTGAAAGCAATATTTAATTCCAAGCTTGTCCCCTTCACTCAGCAGAAAGATCTAAATATATGCCATTTTTCCAATTCCAAGCAAAGTTGCAGGTAGAATATGTAGTATGAGTAATGGATTAAAAATCACTTTTTCAAGTAAAGTGAGCTTATCTAGTTCCAAACTTGAAACATCAATAAAGCTAGAAAATCTTGCGTTCTTTACCTGTGGTTCATTCCACGTTAGTCCATTTTGTAAAGCTTTCATAGAATAGTTTTACGTACGTACCAGACTTCATATATATACTATATATATATATATATATAAACCGAAATTAAACAAACCAACCAACAAGATGGCAAATTCCACAAAAGATTTGTTTAACAAACTGAACGAAGCAGTGCAGAAACTGGCAAGCATGGAGAGGGATGATGATAATAAAGATCATCACACTTCATGCCCCAAGATTCAAAAGGTCTTACATCATCAGAGAGGTCGAAAGAAGTTTGCAAAGTATTACTTTCCCAGGTTTGTGTCATTCGGTCCCATTCATTACGGTGAACCACATCTCCAGCTAGGAGAACAGTACAAATATTTGTGGGCGTCAATGTACCTTCAAGGTAAGGACCGAGACTCGAAACATCAAAAGATTCTAGAAAACATCAAGAATCTGAAAGATCTCTATACAAAAGATGCTCTGGGAGATTTCGATGACAACAATGAGAAACTGTCGGTGATATTGTTCGTGGATGGATGCTCTCTGCTTCAAATCTTGCTTAAATTTGATTTCAAGAAAGCAGAAGATCTGAAGATCAAAGCTGACCTACTTGCTCTTCTTCGCCAGGACGTGCTTTTGTTAGAGAACCAGCTTCCTTTCCAACTTCTGAGTCTTTTAGCGAATGACGACAACTTCGTCATTAGAGCTATAGACAAGTTTATTAGTCGCTTTCAACGTTTCACCTCCCATAGACCTGAGGGACAGTCGTCGAGGCAACGATTTATGGAGGAGGAGGAGGAGATTGGTGAGCGTAAGTTAATTAAATAATTCCTATCCATATATATATATATATAAAGAAAATATATAATATAATTGAAGATATATTTTTAATTATGATATTATAATTATTTATATTTATATTTTTATTATGATATTATAATTAATTGAATCATTTACATATATTCAAGCATTTTTTGTATTAGAAGAAAAGAATCAAGCAAGAAAATGTTGTTTTATATGGGTCCACGGTATTCCACGCATGAATCACAGTCACATGATTATTCAATCCGGTTTTGGATTAGGTGAGTAGATTAAATCAACTCATTCATTGAGTGTGTGAATTATAATTATTGAATTTTATTAATATCTGAAAATTATTAAAATATATCTCTTTTAAAAATTTAAAATAATCATTATGATTAGAACAAATTGAAATTCATAAATTTTTTAGTATCATATCTAACAAATTCTTATAGCCATTTAATTAAATCAAATAGTTATTATCGTATTATTATGTGAGATACTTATTAAATAAATAGGCTTAGGCTGCTTACTAGATCTAATTAATCCATCTTTCCTCTATTCACTTTTGTAAATATAGGGAATTCAAAGTTATGATTCTTACCCTTTCTTTTAATGCGTGTGTATATGTATATTCACCTTTGTCCATGGAGTCTACATCTCATTATTATACATAACTTTTCTATGATGTGGGTCCGCTAAATTATTTAACCTCACTTTAAAACTAAAGTTATTAAACGAAGATGAACATAAATGATGGGTCCTATTTCTCACCATGGAATCAACTTTTGTATATCTCTCTTATGAATGATGTCCATGTCTATTTAAATGTGTGAGTGTTGTATATATACGTGAATTCCATAAGCTACCTCTACTTAAAATAAAAAGAGACAGATACAAAATAGTAAATCTACTTTTATAATCTGAGTTTAACAAAAAGTGATATCATTTTTTACCTCTCTATACTTTAGGTGAATTTTAGCGATTAGAATTTGGTGCATGGTAAGTGGTTTGCGATAAAATTAAAAAATGTCGTTTTAGAGTTAAATGCCCAAAAATGACAGATTTTCATCTTCTCACCTGCTGCTTACTGGGTCTGTTTTCAAATTTTATCAAAGTATTATAGTCCGGAAATCCAAGCCAACCGGACCAGTTGAATTATTAAATCATTATCATAACCTGTTTGATACAATTTGATTACGGTTTTAATCATTAATTTTTAAATTAATATAGTCTTACACATATATCTTTACTTTTGTGTAAATGTAAATGCAGGGGATTTAAATAGTGGTGGTGAGGGAAATCGTGAAGAAATTGAGGTGCGGCTAATCCATCCTTCTCCTCCTCCTCATCTTCTTCACCACCTTCGCAGTGAAATGCTGCGTGGCTTTCACCCAAAAGAAACCAAATCAAAACACAAACATAGATCAAGAACATACAGGAACGTCATGGAGCTGAAACAAGCAGGCATTCGAGTTAAGAGAAGCAAGCCAAAAAGCCCTATCGACATCTCATTCCACTCAACTTGGTTCGGTGGAAGACTCAAACTTCCAAAAATAGTCGTCGACCACATCACAGCACCGACGTACCTGAATCTCATAGCGTACGAGACATTGCCGGATTTCCAGAACAAGCACGAGATCAGCTCGTATGTGGAGTTCCTCGACACAATGATCGACCACCCCGAGGACGTGAAGCTGTTGCGAGCCGCCGGAGTTCTGCTGAACCGGCTTGGGAGCGACGAGGAAGTGGCTAAATTGTTTAACACCATAGCCGCAGACCTGAAGACTGATGCTTCCACGTATGCGTATGTGACAGAGGAGATAGAGATGCATTACAAGAAGAGGTACAAGACGTGGCTTTCTCAAGCTTTTCATATGTATTTCAGATCGCCATGGACCATCATTGCATTCCTTGCTGGTTTTTTGGCTCTTTTTCTTACTGCTGCTCAGACTTGGATAACATTCTATCCCCCAAAACAATAATTATTGTTATTCATCAAAACGACAACGTAGATTGGAGAGAAAGATCAGTTTATGTCACATCAAGCCACAAGACAGCTGCTGCTTCTTCTCGAAGGCAATCGTTTTGAGGCAGAGTCAGGAACTGTTTATGTTCTCACTAATAAAAAGCAATTTAAATCAAATAAGTTAATTTATACTTCTTTTGTTTTTTTAGATGCACATATATCACTTGGAGTGTTATCATATGATATGGTATAAATGACATAATTTGGTTAGTTATTGTATTTAACCAATTAATTAACTTTTTGTTTCTCATGAATTATGAATGGCGAGTTACCCTATTTATAATTAAGATATTTCTATAGATTTTATTATGACTAAATTCACTCTAAATGTAAAAACTTTTAAAATGGCCCAACTGGAACATGTTTGAGAATATATAATAAAATAGAAAAAAACTGTCATTAATAAAATGGAATTGAATGGATTGGATGGAACCAAACATGTGCAATCCACAGGAAGAATCCACTTCCATTACACTCAATTTAAGAGTTTTTATAAATAAATATTATGAAAATTACAATAATCATTAACTAAATTTAAAAGTGTTTTTCAGATTAAGAAAAAGGGTAATTACAAAAAAGAAGTTAATCAATAAAGAAATGGTATAAGAAAAAGGCTGACATTAAATTATCAATTTTCTCAATGACGAAAAAATTGATCTCGCATTTTTTTGTCAACCATGAAAATGTTTTATAAGAAATTAAAATAGATCATAAATATTAATTTTAATTTCAGATAACAAAGTTAAAGAGACAAATACTCCCCTAGTAAACATATCATAAAATTATATCTTGCAAAACTTAAAAAGCCTGACTGCAGAAGAAACCATCTGTGATTTAGTTCTCTTCAGCTATGAGAGCATCTTTTATACTCGGTTTCATTAGGATATCCTGATTGAAAGAGACACGGACAAATCAGGTTTCAACATTGTATGTTTACCACCTTCAAGCTGATCAAGTAGCCAACATATGCAAACTTGGGCATAGGTCCTAGCATCAGCTCCCAATCTACCAGAAATAGATGCACATTTGTTTGTAACTGTGCCCTTATGTGTGCACAAAAATTATTGGACTTCAAAGTCTGAGCTCCTGATTTCTGATACAACTTCACCGTGATCATCCTCGTGGAACTTAAAAGAAAGGTTTATGTATAAAAGTAGCTACTACTGATATGTAAGGAAGTATTTTGAAGATAATTTTGAGAGACCAAGCTTAAAAAAAAAAAACACGTTTTATTTGGCAAGACAAAAAGAATTCATGGTCACACACATCCAGAAAAAGGGCAGGGAAAAACATTAAAATGGAGTTTGATTAAACTTGCCCCTTGCTTTATTCATTTGAAGAGTAACTTCAATAACAGAGGTATTTGCAAAAGCTTCATTGGTATCTCCATTTCTGAAGGCAGAAAACACTATTTTCAAACTCAGAATAGGCACAAGTGTTGAAACTAATCTCAGGAAACGTCATTAATTGAAACATGACGATTTATCATATTTCTGCGGCAACAAAAAATCCTCCATTATACAAGCTGAGAAAACCAAAAATCTTGAAAAGCAAACACTACTTGAAAACAAAGCCACGGATTGCATAGTTCCATGAAAGAGAAACCGCCCATTTCTTGAATAACTGGGACGCAATCTATAAGCTGTCATCATTGACAAAGTGACACAGTGGCTTGAATAAATTGGGGGGGGGGGTCGAGGACCATTTTTCATTCCTTGTTGTGTGAAATTGAGGAATTGATTGGATCTGAAAATTATTAGCTCACACGTCGTCATTAAGTTAATGTAGTTACTGAATAAGACAAACTAAACCCAAAATTTTTGTCTGCATTTATTCAACATAAAGTTCACCAGGGTGGCACAGTAATTCTTGCTATTTCTCTTGGTACAGGGAAAGTTTTGTTAGGCAGTGTAGTTTATCCATAACGTTACTTGGAATATTGATAACCACTTAAAAAGCTCTTCATTCTCAACTACACCTGTGATGAATTGAAATTTGTTATCAAGCTCAAAAATAAAGCCAAATTGCATCTGTTTCATGAACTCATAACCTTGATGTATGAGATCATGAGTTCACCGATGTCCATGTTTAAGTGCTAATATCCTTTACTTGCCAAAGTGTAAGTTAAATTTGTAAAAACTGTTTACAAGTTACAACAGCAATAACATGGATAGTAGAAATCAGTTGGCAAATGTTTATCTAATCATATGCAAACAACAGTCCTAAACTTTCATAGAAAATAAAAAGCTTTAGATTATAACGCATAAAAAGATGAGTAAATTCAAATAACAGAATGGACCACACAAAAGTTACAAGCACCAATTGAGAAGGATGGACCACATCGGGAACTTTATATATCAATAAAAGTTTTTACTGAACTCCCTGTTCAAATAACCTCGATTAGAGTTTGCAACATTGATAGGAAAAGAGAAGCAACTATCCCACTCCACAAAAACTGGTTCTACCAGCTACAAGAAAAATCCTGGTAAGAGGGGGATGTTCAGAATAATAGAAGAGGTCAAAGACAATAGCATTTAAAGAATAGGTTAATGATATTTTGATAGCAGTGACACACCTAAAGCAAATACATAGACAAAAGCCTTGAGTGTTTCTACCAACTACCAAAAAAAAAAATGCACAAATAAATATGTTCAGAATAACATATCGAATAATGAGTAAAATTTTGTCAGTTGACATAACAAAAATACAATCCATTCTTCTTTTTAATACAAGTTAGATCAAAACATGTCGGCTATTTTCAAGGATAAAGTAAGCATTCCGTACTTCTGCATCTTCAAGTCACATGCAATATAATGCACAGCAAAAGATATAAATCAACCAACAACAACACATGCTATAGGGCAACACTACAAATATTTCAGACCTTTGCTTATATTCAAACCATTTCATCTCTCGTCAGTCATTGACAAGCGGAAATTGCTAATTCTTAATAGTTTAGTTGACCTATCCAGTCAAATTTATAATGGTTATAATACTACTCATTTTCTGGCATTGGAACTTTATTAGTTTTACACTTCACTGTTTTTGGGTTGCATAATATAGATCAATAGATACATAAACTAATATTGCTAACTAATGATTTTATGATCCTTTCATTAATGCTAATAAAAAGTTTTCAGATAGTATAGCATCTCCTTTAGGCCCAAAAAAATGAAGAATGGAACTTATTTTGGGTCTAAAAAAGAAACACAAATAGATGAGGGGTAAGAAACATATCTCTTATAACCCAGTCTTTTATCGATGATTTTTTTGGGAGGGAAGCCCTCCACTACAGCTTCGCTATAATTGGAGATAAATCTAGACCATCTAGATTTATTTGAATAGTCCAGATTTAATATTTTTTTATTTTATTTTATTAAAATAAAAAATTATATAAACTAAAAAGAATCTTAATAAATCTTTTTTATCAGTTTAGATAGTCTAAATTTAATACATATGATCCAAGTATAATATTAAAAAATTTTAATATTAAAGCTGCACTACCTAGCATATATCTACATAGTTAATTTATAAAAATTAAAAAATTATAATATTATATTGGGATCATATATATTAAATTTGGACTATTTAAGATTATAAAAAGATTCATTAAAATTTTTTATAGTTTATATAATTTTTTATTTTGGGTTAATGAGCAAATAGGACTCTAAACTCTTGCTCAAAAATCGCTCTAGGCCCCAAACTCTTAACATGTGTAAAATAAATCCTAAACTTTTAAATTTGTAGCAAAATAAACCCTGGCCGTTAACTTTTTTAACATTGTTACTGTTCACATGGTACTGTTCACTGTGGGCCCCAATTAATACTAATGTGTCATTGTGAATTAGCACCATAAACCCTAAACTAGTATATTAGTAGTATTCTGAACCCTAAACTATTATGTTAGTAGCATTTTAGACCCTGAACTTTAAAAATTTAAGCAAATTACCCCCATTTTTTATGTATAGAACATTGACTATTATGTTGATCAAATTAGTCTCAACATGGTTTGCTATCGTGAATGCATTTTTGGTTATTGCGAATGACTTATAATTTTATAAAATGACATTTTTTGCCCCCTTTTTTGCAATATTTTCCAAACGATTAGTATCTTATGCTTTCATATACTCTATAACTCTAATTTAATATTATTGTGAATAATGTTTATTTATCTAATGGTGAAAACTTGAAATCCTATTTGAACAGAAGTTTAAATATTACATAATTTTAATTAACCAATTAATTTGATTTTTTAATTCATTGATAAAATCATCAGCTTTTGCATCCATCATCTGTAAAATCTTATGATACTTAAACTTTTTTTCAAATGGGATCCTAAGTTTTCACCATTAAATAAATAAACATTATTCAAAATAATATTAAATTAGAGTTATAGAGTATACAAAAGTATAAGATACCAATCATTTGAAAAAAAAATTGAAAAAAGGGGCAAAAACATCATTTCACAAAATTGTCATTCACCACGGCCAATGATGTATTCACCATGGCGAACCATGTTGAGGCTAATTTAGTCTATATAATAGTTGATGTATCATAGAAAATGGTAGGGGTAATTTGCTTAAAATTTCAAAGTTTAGGATCCAGAATGCTACTAACATAATAGTTCAAGGCTCAGAACAATACTAACATAATAGTTTAGGGTCTGTGGCACTAATTTACAATAACACATCAGCATTAACTGGGGCCCATAGTGAACAGTACCGCATGAATAGTAACGGTATTAAAAAAGTTCATGGTCAGTGTTTATTTTATTATAAATTTAAAAGTTTAGAGTTTATTTTGTACATTTTAAGAGTTTAGGGTCTAGAGAAGATTTTTGAGCAAAAGTTCAGGGTTCTATTTGCTCATTAACCCTTTTATTTTAATAAAATAAAATAAAAAAGATTAATTAGGCCATCCAAATAAATATGGATGGTCCAGATTTATCTCTAGTTG